GAAGAGGGGATGAGAAGGGGAGGGGGATAACGGAAGAGCGGGGAATGAGGAGGGCGAAAGGGGAGAAGAGAGGGGGAGTCAGGCGGGAGAGGAGGGGTCACGAGCAGACGAGCGAGGCCTGCGCAAGCGCACCCGGAGCTCTGGAGAAGGGGGGGGGTCGCTTCCTGCTCCGGTCTGGGTCCCGCTTCCCTCCTCCTTCCCTCCGCCGGCCTCCTCGGCTCTCCCGAAGGGGGGAGGGGACAAGATGCTGGGGGGGGGGGGGAACGGGGGGGAGGGGGGGGGGGGGGGGGGGGGGGGCGACAAGGGGCTGGGGGGGAGGGGGAACGAGAGGGAGGAGTGAGAGAGGGGAGGCGGGGGCGCGCGCGGGCCGCGGGGGCGCGCGGGCCGGAGCGCGCGAGGTCTCGGGGGTGCGCGGGCGGCCCGTGGCTGCCTCTGGGGCTCAGTGCACTGGCGCCGCCGCCGCCGCCTCTGTCGCTCCGGCTCCGGCTCCGGCTCCGGCCCCGCGCCCCCTCCTCCCGCCGGCCCGCCTCGTCTTCTGGAGTTTGCGGTGAGTCTGACAGCTGCGGCCTCCCAGCCCCGCCCTCCCCTGCACGGAGCCCCGGGCCCTGCCTTCTGCACCCCCCCACCCCCACCCCGAGCCCCCGCCGCTCGTGGAGTGGCGACACTCACGACACCGCGGCAGGCACGCCCTTCTCATGCTCGGCGAGTGACTTCCCCCGCCAGCCTCAGTTTCCCCCGCTGTCCAATAATGGGAGTGGTCCCCCATCACCCTTCAAACCTGCCCCCCATGCTGTGAACCTAAGGTCGCCCGGGGCGGGGGGACGGGCAGGAAGGGGGGACACCCCCCGCCGGCCCGGGGTCAGGAGGAGGGGGAGGCCGCATCTGCAGCCCTGGAGTTGCCCCGACCTCGGCAACATCCTGCCCTCCCCGTGGTCCCTGGCAGAAGAGATGCCCTCCCTCCATCTTGCCAAGTAGTGCCTGCCCAGCGCCTGGCTCGGTGCCATTGTCAGGTTTGGGTCTGCTCCGAAGCCAGCTCCAAACAAGAGCGCAGCCCCCTAGCTGAGATGCCTTTTTTCCGAGATGCCCAGGTGACATTCGCCTGGCTGATTCTGTAACTTCCCCGAACTTGTGCTCCCTGACTCTGGACTTCCTGCCTGGGCAGAGAGGGCAATGGTGCCCGTTTCCAGGACTCTTTTCTCCTTCAGTGTGAATGGCAGCGAGAAGCCATTTGAGGAGACAGCCTGGAGAAAGAGCACTGGTGAGAAAACCTGGCACCCAGGAACTCTGTGACCCTAGACAGACCTGATCTCCACCCATCTGTAAAATGAGGAATAATAACATTTAAGATCATACATGTACCTGTGTTGTATCTATGTACAGGTACCTACACATAGCTATGTATGTCCATATCGATAAAGACTTGGAAAGGACCTCAGATCAGAGAAATCAACCAACCCCACTACTAGTTTCACAGATGAGGAAACTGATAAGTGTCTTGTCTAAAGTCATACAGGTTGTAGTAAGTGTTGGAGCCAGAATTTGAACCCAGGTTCAAAGAAAGGGCTGGCTGATTTTAAATCCTGTTTTCTACTCAATGCTCCACAATGCCTGCACTCTGTCTGTCTTACATAGTTATGGAAAAGGTGATTGGTAAACCTTAAAGCACAATATAAGTGTGCATTTTAAAAAAAATCTTTATTGTCCCTTAATTAAATGTGAATTCTTTCCCCATAAACACAGCTAATGGTTTCCTCTAATGTCAGACCTAAACCAATTAGTTAAAGAGGTAGGCTGGCAAAACTCTGGAAGAGACATCAGAATGTAGAGGGTTAGAGAGACCTTGGAATATAGAATATCAGAATGGGGGGGGTGAGGGGGAGGCAAGGGCCCTTCAGATATAGGATGTTACAGTGAGAAGGAAGTTTCAAGATCATTTGTCCAAAACAGAAGCTCTCAGAAATTGTAAGGGATAAGAAAACCGATTTATCCTGTATTGCGAATTACCCAACACAAACTAGTATGGTGCATTCATCTGAGACTAAACTAATTTCAAAGAATATTCCGTTCTTGTTTTGTTTTTAGCAGCAACTGGCTCTTATAGATATCTGTGATCCACTGTTAAAGTTTGATTCAGTAGGTTGTTAGACAACATAAGATTAAAAAGCAGCTACATTCACATGTTTGTGAATCACATCTCTTCAGTTTGGTTTCAATTTGATGAAATCTTTGAAGTGGTCTAGAGATGGTTTTCAGATGTCCTTTGGTGTGAGACCCATAAACCCAAGGGGCCCGTTTATTCCTTAGCTGTGTAGTAAGCTATATATTTTATTCTATCACCATGCTGCTGACAAAAACCTTGTCATGTTCTTTCGAAAGTGATTCTCGGTGCTTTTTAGGAAAACCACATTCCCTTCCCCAACTTTAAAAGGACATTTATGACTTGACATTGAAAAGGTATCTAGGGTCTGAACCTGTGATTTCATTGGTATAGAGAACTGCTGGATGAGAGCACTCCCTCAGTCCCTCAAAGTTTACACCTTCTCTGTCACTTAACAATTAAGAGAGTTGCCCTGAATGCTGAGAGATTGTGACTTGCCCAGAGTCAGACAGCCAGCATATGTATGCCAGAGGCAGACTTGAACCCAGATCTTCCTGAATCTGAGGCCAGCTTTCTGTGAGTTTTGTAAATAGATACTCATTTTGTAGATTGGCTAGAGAAATAGGGCGGTATAAGAAAAACCCTTAGGAACAATTGTCAAGAAAAATACTAAGATAATGAGTTGTAGTAGACAGAGTTCCTTAACCCCCCTCCCAAAGGGTGGAAATCTCAGAGTTTGAGGACATTTATATAATTTGCAAAAGGCAGATAGTCTTAAGATTCTTCAGTAATTGGAAGTGGAGGAAATATTTGAGGGAAATGAACTACAGTCTAGACATAAGTAAATACCACATCTTTTGAGTCATATAATTTATTCTTAAAAGCTTGGTATTTTCCCTCATATTGTTTGACAATCGATTTTTCTATTCTTACTTGGTTCCCTTGTCCAGCCAAATAAATCCCTACCCTCATCCACACTGAAGCATGGAACCTTCATTGTGATGACCGATTCTAGATAAATCTGTGTTCCTGGGTATAAGGATAGCATGGAGTCCAATGAAATCCAAAGAAAAGCAGAAATTTTTATTTTTTGCTCATAGTACGAGTGAGCTTCTGTCCTCAGCAAACCTTTTCCCAGAGCTTCTTAGAAATAGTCAGCTCCTGCCAATAAATGGTGAAATGAGGAGGGAGTAGGAAGAGCAAGCACAAAGATTGTATAATAAGCAATAGCTGAAGAATCACAGCTTGACACTACTTAGTATTTTTGAGGAATGTGGAATGCCTTCAAATCTGTTCAAACTCGACAGCATCTGTGAGTAGGTTTTCTTGTTGTACAGATGAAGAGATTGAGACACAGAAAAGTCAGATAACTTTCTCAAGGTCACTCGGAGAGTGCTTTGTAGAGCTGGAAATAGAATCCTAGTTTGTCTGGTAGCCCTTTGAACATACTTAAGAAGGGTGATGTGAGCAGAGCAAGGTCATTAATTCTACTTGTGTTTTGATAAATTGGACCAGATTCAGAAGCCCATTCTTTTTAAAAGAATATGGTCAAATCATAACCAGTTCCAAATCTACTTAACAGCAAAAAATACTGCCCCTTTACAAATACTTAAATTATGGAGGAATCTGCAGCATAGATAGTATGTATGACTGATTGTTTGGTGGGCTTCATAAAGCAGCTTGACAGTGTTCCTTGAAAGACTGTCAGGCTTCTTTGGCAGACGGAGTTTTGTAGAAGGACCAAAGATCATTCTTCCTGGAGTTTTTCACTCATTTCACGTCCTCATGAAGAACCATTTGCTAGGCTCCAGTTTGCTAGCTACAGTTGTCAGGAAAGAGGCTGTTAAACCCTGATGCATGCAGACCTTTGTTTGTTGAAGCTAGAGGGACAGCTGCAGGCCATTCTGCTGCTAATGCCAGTCGTCCTTCCTGAATTGGTGCTTTGAGGGCACAAAATGTTGGTAGCAGCTCACTCTTGGTCATGGTCAGGGAGAGAAAAAGTAAACAGCTCCAATAGTCATGGCTTAGCACTGACCCTCAGAGTGTTGATGCATGCTGACCAACCCTGTCTCTATTCCAATAAGATTGTCGTTTCATCCAGTTGATGTTTTTAGCCTGGCTCCTATTTTTGTTCAGATTTGACTGTAGTTAGAATGTTGGTGGGAATTTATGAAAATATTTGACAGTGAGCTCTATCAAAAAAAAAATCTCACATGCTTCTACAGTGGAAGAATTTATGCCAAGGAATATTTGTGTTGTCTTTAATGAGAGAGCCAATTTCTTAATTTCAGTGTGGCTAAGATGTTCATTACATAATAATGCAAAATCCTGACTATCTAGCAAGGACTGGTATAGCTAAATTTATAGAGGCTCATTACCAGAAAGTTAGCCAGCAGGGGAATATTTTTTTTCCAGCCACAGAAACTCACAAAGACAATTGACTATATTTTGGGGTAATGAAATTCATGTTTTTTTTTTAAAGCTGACTTGTATTTTCCTACCTTCAGGAATTTGTGTTTTCATCAGAATAGATTCCTTCTGCAATGCAGATAGCCATCACCTCACAATATAGCTGATTGTCTTTATGAGTTTCTGTGTCTGGAGAAAAAAATAATCCCCTATTGGCTAACTTCCTGGTAATGAACCTTTACAAATTTAGTATTCTGGTACTTGGTAGGTGGGCACATGGTCCATCTCTGGATCTATCTCTAAAGCCTAGACTAGTTGTTAAGACTTGTCAGCCAGATTGGCCATGACTAGGGATTTTTATGCTAGAGCAAATACCCCAAACCATTCTGGGAGCAAAAGGATGACGCACTCACTCCCTTAATTAAGGGAAGACAGGATACCCAATTGTTGTGGGATGGGGTAGAGATGGAGATCCTGGTTCCCTGTTGAGTATGTTTGCTTTACGGTGGACTGTGGAATAGAGTAAGAATTCAGACCAGCCACAAGGTCTTCTTACTAGCTCGATGCAAAGCTTTATTGTTTCTACCCTAGTAAAGGAATGTAAATCGACACCCTTTAAACTTGGTGCCTTGGGACAAAGTACTTGTTGTCCTGCCCTAGTTAAAACACTTTGACCTGAGCTTACACAGCCTTCAAGAATTGCAGGTCACCTTCCATGCCATATTGAGACACTGAGGAGGGCATTAGTTAGCTTGAGCTCCAGATATCTTATTTAAATGTTGCTTTGAATTTTGTTTTGTTGACTAGCATTTTAAAAAAATGAAGACTGGAAATTTAGGTTTCATTTTTGTCCTGTCCTTTGGCTACACATATCATTTAGGGGTATATGTTAATTACTCTGTTGTAGTGACATCAGTTTCACTGTCAAGACACTAATCTCTTTGTGATAATTTGAGTTCAGCCATAGAACAAACAGTTCAGATGAGGCAAAGACTGTCTGTTCTGTGAGTATGTGTTACGTGGGCAGCAAACGCTTTAAATCCTCCTGGTATATCATACTAGTAGTACAGTACTTCAGGCCTTGGTGCAATCACTTTAAAAACCAGTTGAAAAAAAAAACTAGTGGAATATAGAGCTAATAGGAATATAGCAGCACTGAGGACAAGTGTTTTAGCTGTAGTCTTACAGATAAAAAGGGAGAAAACAGGAAATGAAGGTATCACATCATGAAAACTGAAAAAAAATTCAGGTACAGGAAGTACTGTTTCCTGTGTTCTGATTTTTTTTTTCTTTTGAGGACTAAGAGGATGGAACTTTAATTTTCTAATTTTTGTTTATCTTTTTAAAAATATTTTACTTGTTTTAATCACCCAAAATCTACCTTGTATTCCCTCTAGCCCCATCTTTCCCTTCCTCCAACTGAGAACCCAAGAAAAAACAAAACTCATTACACACGTGTATGGTCAATCAAAACAAATTTGCACACTGGCCCAAAAAAAAATTTCTCTCGTTCTGCATTCTGAGTCCTTTACTTCTGTATCAGGAGGTAGGTGGCAGGTTTCATTATTAGTCCTCTGGAATCCTGGTTCATCATTATGATGACAAAAAAATAAGCACCATTGTGTTCCATCACATTCATATACCATAACTTGTCCAGGATGGAACTTTAAAAAGAGAAATCATATCATTGAAAAACAGGTTGCCTCTTTGTCTTTGGTTGCCAGCTGGTTAGTATCCCCTCACCTCACTTCTCTGAAAAGTCCTAAGAAGATAATAATACAGTGCTTCCTCTCATTTTTTAAGCCTGCTTTTTATTTTTAAAAAGCATACCACTTCAAGAGGTAATGACCTTTAAAGTTTCTAAAAGTTAAACTATTCAGAGAATCCTATTTTATAGAATCCTGCTCTGGACCTGGTGGGTGAAAGAGCTGATCCAAATCTCTTTCATTTTTCTAGTTACTAGAATTCCGTAATGATGCTTGTTTAAGGTTTTGTGTTCTCTGGTTTATCTCAGTACTTAGAGGCAGTATTTTTAGCACTAGTAATGACTAAATTCATAGAGAACTTTTGCTTACTTAATATCTTTGAAAGGAACTAACTAATTAAGAAAAGGCAGTTGTACCACTAGAGAGCAGATTTCCAGCTGCAGATGGCAAATTAGTCAATGTGGGCACCTACCAATTTGCCATTTTCAGTGTTGTCGAGAAGTTAAATGGAAAAACAAACAGGCAGACACAGTTGTGCTTCATGTTTTCTTCTTATGACTTTGAAGCAATTTTGCAAATTGAAAACGTCTTTTTGCATATTTGACTTTTCACACATGCTAGAAAATTGTTTTGACTTTTCCCCCTCATCAGCTATGAAATGTATTGCGTAAGACATCTGTATAGAAAATAAAAAAACAGTATTGATAGTATTCATTCGTAGAATGTTGAGATTAGTTGATTTAAGAAGTAAGCAGGGGGCCCATCCATCTTTTCTAAATAGAAGTGCTTCGGCTTATGAACGCCTGTCATGAGGGGAACGTGCCCAGCATGCGCTTTGGTCTTATCTCTGGTTTCTTTTATAACAGGTGCCTTGTTGACATCCTGGAACTTAGGAAAAAGACGAGATCTGCTCTTAGGGGATAATGCTAAGGGACACTATGAAGTCTTGGAGTGATAGCCAGTCAGACCTCTGCAGCAGTGACCAAGAAGAGGAGGAAGAGATGATTTTTGGTGAAAATGAGGATGATTTGGAAGAGATGATGGATTTAAGTGATCTGCCTACCTCACTTTTTGCATGTTGTGTACATGAAACTGTGTTTGAGGTGCAAGAGCAGAAGGTAGGTAATATATGTGTACATTAGAGTTAGGGATCATTACTCATAGAATCCTAATTAGATCAAGTACCTTTTTCTCCAGTTGGGTGAAGTATTGGTTATGCTTATACATAGATGGAAGCACTTAGATGGTGCAGCAGACAGAGCCCTAGGCCTGGAGTCAGGAAGACCTGAATTCAGATCGGGCTTCAGATACTTACTAGCTGTATGACCCTGAGCAAGTCACTTAACTTCTGTTTGCCTCAGTTTTCTGATCTATAAAATGGTGATAATAACAGCACCTCCCTCCCAGGGTTGTTGGGCAGATCAAATGAGATAGTTGTAAAGCTCTTAGCACAGTGCCTGGCACACAGTAGGTGCCATGTAAATGCTCATCCTTTTCCCTATCCTTCCTGATTTATCCAGGGAACCATGCAGTGAAATCTGAAGAGCTTTACTATCTTACATAGAATAGATGACTTGTGTGTTCATAGAACGCATGGCCTCCTGGAAGCTATACCTGTGCGTGATCAGACTCAGGGGCCCTCTCAGATGTTAGGGTGCTCTCTCAAAGTGTGCTCCATTTCTCCATGTTCATCTTCTACAAGTGTCCATTAGAGCAAGGTTGTACGTGGCACTAGGGTGGGCACTTTTTCAAAGAGTGCTCCGTGGGCCAGGTTTGTTTTTGTTTTTAGAACTTCATTGTGTTTCTGGGCAGATATTTCCTCAATGTGTTAGAGAAGAGTGGTCCTGAGTACTTTTTCGTGACCTGTTGGTTATGTATTTTTAAAACTTATCACTGATTATCTGCCGGGATCTTGGTGTCTAAGATGTCACTGAAGTCTTTTGTGGTCTGGTAGGATTGCTGGACTGAGGAGTTGGGGGCTTGGGTTTTTCATTTTTGGTTGTATGAACATGGGCCTTTCAGCCTCAGTTTCTTTATCTGTAAAATGGGAATAATAATACGTGTATAACTTTGGAAGCCTTAAAATATTATACAAATGTGAGTTGTGGATTATTCTTCCAGTACACATTGAAGTGCTTACTAATGTACACAGGAATATGGACAGAATTACTTGATTATGGTTCATGGTTCCAGAACTGGAAAGGAAACTGTAGAAAAGGTGGCTTAATGGGGGTGGGGATGGAATGAAGTATAGCATGCCTGGCATTTTCTTTCCTGAAAGGGTTCCAGCAGTGGCACTAACTACCAGAAGAGTGGGGCCCCTAGGCAGAACTTCTTCTAAGGTTTGGTCTGTGTCATGGGCAGGAAGCCGATGGAGGCACTGATCCTGGTGGAAGGATCTGGAGAGGACAGAATATCAAATACAATGTAAATGGTGGGGCCACCCCCGACCCAGAAGGGCTGCTCTCCTCACTGGGGAGGTCGTGCCTTGACACCTAATCTCGGTGTTAGGTGCAGAGCAGGCGTTCCAGTGTCTGTTGACCAAATCCAGTTCAATGTAAGAAAACATTTCTTAACTATTAGTGTTTTCCAAATGAGTTCTCCTTTTTATGGGGGATTCTCAAGGGAGCGTTGGATAACCACTTGGTAGGGGTGCTGGAGAGAAGATTCTTAACCCAAGGAGAATGGGCCAGATGCTCTCCGATGTCTCTTCTCACGCTGAGACTCTGAGATCAGTACTAACCTTAGACTCTACTTCTGGCAGCGGAACACCAGTAAGAGCCATTCTGCATCATTTGTGGCCCATCTGCAGAGCACCTGTGGGACCCTGGGCACAGGGTCAAACATAAAAGGAGGATAATAATAGCATCTACTTCACAGGGTTGTTGTGAGGACCAAATGAGGTAATATGCCTGGCACACAGTAGGCACTAAGTAAATAATGAATGAATACATACACATATATGTGTACATGTGTATATATACATGCATATATATGATATGTGTCTATAGAAATATATGTTTCTATATACATAAACACACATATACCCCAACCTCTGATCTACACAGACCCTGCTGTAGTAGTTGGGCTAGCCAACTGACCCTGGACAGATGGCACAAAAAATAATCCAAAAAAATATGTGCTGCTCTGATGCAGCATGTATAGAACAGAGAGTTTTTAACCTGGGGTCTGCACGCTTTTTTTTTTTTTTTTAATATTTTGATACCTCTATTTCATTGTAATTGGTTTCCTTTGTAATCCTAGGTGTTTTTTGTTTTTTTTTTTATGCCTTCAGAAACCTTACTCTGAGAAGGGGCTCCAGCAGTAGGCTCCACCAGATTACCCAAGGGGTCCACAATACAAAAAAGGTCAAGCACCCCTGGCCTACACTCTCTAGCCTTAAACTCTGTGGGAATGAACCGTTTGCTCCTGAGAAATCTGCTTTGGCAGGTCTAAAATTTATAGTGTAGCAAAACCTTACTAATTCATCTGTGTGAGCAGGGAGGTCTGTCTGACTTAATCAGACATCAGAATCATGGCCTATAAAAGTGGGAATGCTGCTTTAGGCTGCTGAGCAGAGTATGTGGTAGAAGCTCATGTGAGGGGCTACTAAGAGGTAAAATGAAGCTGATGAGTGCATTGCAGGTCAGTATAGGCCTGCATTATGAAAAGATTATAAGATTTAAAGCTGGCAAAGACTTTACAGAATATCTAGTTTTTAAGCACGAGGAAGTTGAGGCATGGAGAGGTTCTGTGAACTGTCCAAAGCTACTCAGAGACAGGACAGTGATGGATCATAAGCCTAGATGCACTTTCATATCCAAGAATTAATTGCTGAATCTTAAAGTTGAAAGAATACTTAATTTTCTGAGCTGGTCGTAGCTCAAAAAGCTGATTTAACCTAGATTACCCTAACTTCGAGGCAAATTCTTATAGAAAGAAGTTATTTTGAGCTTTTTACACAATAAAAATTACGTAGAACGTGGTAAGATCATCACAAATTGTGAATGAGATTTTCCTTAATATGATCTGGCTAATTATATTTCTCTTAGAAGCTGGCTGGAACAAAATGATAGCTCATTTTTTAAATGCCTCACCTTCTCTAATTTACTATTCGCCTGGAAATAAAAGTAGCTTTTGCATGGTTTCCTTGGGTCTTAGTCATGAGTAACTAAAATTCAGTTCAATCCTACTCTGTTCAAGGTAGCCAAGATTCAAAGATAAGAAGTGTCTTTCCTTAGTGACCTTATGTCCTCCTGAGGGGGCTGTCCCGGGTATGCAGATAAGTCAATGTGAAACACATCACAGGAGTTTCCAGAAGGGGAGAGAGAACAGGGATCTGTGGGAGAGTCAGGAAAGGCTGTGACAGAATTGGGCTTTAATGGAACGCCCAGGTAGTCTGTGAGGTAGCTGTGAGGAGGGAGGGCATCTACCCATGATGGGCCCCTTACAGATGCAGAGGTGCACAAGAGGGAGATGGAATCTGATGTCCAGGGAATAGCTAGCAGAGCGGCGTGAGCATGAGGGAGAATGTAGGAGGAATAGAAATGAGAAGACTTGGGAAGGTGAATAGGAGCAGGACCGTCGAGAGGCCTTTCAGTGCCAGACGTCTCTATAGTCAATAAGGAGCTGTTGAGGACTTTTTTGAGCAGGGCGAGGGATCAGAGTTGAATGGGACCTCAGTCACTCTCCAGTACAGTCCGTCCCCTAAAGTGGACAGCCTTTTCTTGAAGATCTCCAAAGAATGGAAGCCACCTGCTACCTTCTACCCACCGTTCCTCCCATTTTCTCTGGGCCAGACAGAATTAAGTCCAATCCCTTTTCCGCATTGACAGTCCTTCAGATACTTGTACACAACTGTCGTGGTCCCCGTGAATTTTCTGTTTTCTAAACTAAACATCTCCAGTCCCTCCAGCCAGTCCCATGGGACACTGACTCAAGGCCCTTCCCCTTCCTGGTTGCCCTTCTCTGGGTGCTCTCCAATTTGTCATGGTCACTGGCTTAACGTAGTCACATCTATGTTTTAGGAGCAACATTTTGGAGGAAATGCATGGCGCTGGGAATGGATTAATAACCAACATCTGACCTGATTATTAATTTCTTATACTGTAAGATGTCCCTTCTGTTTTTTCTCAGTGCTTGCATTTTCTTCAAAAGTATCTGCTCTGTGAAAGTTTCTTCCTTCCCCTGACTTAGTCTTAAAATAGAACTTGGTTATCTTTTTCTGTCTCTGCACCCTCACTGGTTTTTCTCTACTTTCCTAAATTCAGGCACCATAAGAGAGAGAGAGAGAGAGAGAGAGAGAGAGAGAGAGAGAGAGAGAGTGTGTGTGTGTGTTTTAAACCAAGTTTAGCACTTAGTTTCCACACTCTAAATAGAAAAGATAGTTTTGGCATATTTGTTATAGGAGGAAGCTATGTGCAATTTCTCATTCATCTAAAATTAAATTCCTGAGACCTCTGACCTAGATGACTTACACCTTAATCTGAAATCACAGTATTTGGCCATGGACAAACTGAGCACTTTCATGAAGATTTATCAGATGGAATGTGTTTTCATCTCCAACTTAGCATTTTGAAGTTTAAAGAGACATTTCCTTCCAACAACCATGTAGGGAAGGTAGTGCAAGTATTATCATCCCCATTTTAGACAAAGAAATGGAAGTGGAGAGACACAGTGGTCAGGGACAGAGCTCAGTGCTCTCCACATGTCACCATGCATGCTGCAGGGGGTTTGAAAAGCTGAGAACACTTAAAAATGCACTAAGACTTTGGGGATACCCTGTTTAAGCACATAGGGTCAGTTCTCAGGTGAGCACCGAGGAAGGGGAAAAGATGAAGTAGAGGGACAGCTAGGTGGCGCAGTGGATAGAGCAGCGACCCTGAAGTCAGGAGGACCTGAGTTCAAATCCAGCCTCAGACCAAACACTTGACACCTAACTAGCTGTGTGACCTTGGGCAAGTCACTTAACCCCAACTGCTTAAGCCAAAAAAAAGAAAAAGAAGAAGTAGAGAGAAGTCCCACTCTTCATTCATTTTCTTCTCTTAGTAATATCATTTTTTCTTCTTATTCTTCATCTCTCTTCATTTTGATTTATCCAATGCTAGAGTAATCTCTG